AAGTATCATTGATATACTATTATAGTTTTTATTAATATTTTAAATGAGATGTTATAGTATATATATTTCATTTTTAGGTAAAGTTTGACATTTTTATTTTTTATTTACAAATTAGAAATGTTATATCTATAAGATTTCTAACAAATTAATTGTTCAGCATCAAACTGAAAAAAACTACCATCACCTAACCTTCTAAATTCACAGAAAAAAAGATACAGCACCTAAACAATTAATAATAATAATAATAATAATAATAAACAATCTTGCTTGTTATTATATAGCTGTATCCCAATTCAGATGCTGATTCCGTCGAAGGAAGCAAATTTACTTGAAAAAGTGTAATCTGGCATTTTCTTTAAAATATCTTATCGTCACCGCCGCACAATGAATCTTGGGACAGTGTGGGCTGCAAAAAATCTGTCTGTTAAATCCTTCATGGCGGGGAAATGAAAGATGCATTTAAAGGAGCCTTCGAAGAATTTTGACAGCCTTTGTCACACCACTGTGATGCATTCAGGCTTTGAATGCAGCCTCTGCATTGGGACACAGTGTATGTCAGATTGTTTCAATATATAAAAAAAAAGCATTACAGCCTGTATGAAAGATGATGGTCTTTTGTGTTCAGGTACCCGTTTGCTCTCCCAAACACCCTTCAGTCCATCCAGACAGCCGCCACTGGGTGGCGCTCACATTCGCTGTGTTACATGGACATATATCAGTAGTGCAGGTAACGAGCTGCTTGTTTATTGCGTGATTTCTTTCATACTGCAACTAGACTACGCTTGAACTTAAAGGTATACTGTTAGTTTACTAGCTTTTAGGACACCTTTTAGTCTTTGAAGTGAACTTAACATCTTATAGTATGTAAATCCTATATTATTTTTGCAATTTAAATATACTAACAGCTTTGGTTTGCATATTTAAAATAAACTTTAAGTAGACCAAATATAGGCCAAATATACTTAGCTTGATTTTGTTAAGTATATCTCTGGTAATTACAAACCCAATTCCAAAAAAGTTGGGACACTGTACAAATTGTGAGTAAAAGTATACTCGCTTATCTTTCATTTACAGCAAGTATACCAATAGGACATTTGAACAAACCTTTTTTTGTAAGTGATGTAACATTAAATTGTAGCCACAAAATGTACGTTTCATCCATTGTCATCAGTAGGTTTTGTTGTTGCTCTCCTAACCTACATGTATGTCTGTATCTTCAGCTTCTGTTAGATGCCGGGGCGAATGTAGAAGGAGCAGCCGTCCGTAACGGACAGGAGAGCAACGTCGAGACGCCTCTCCAGCTGGCATCTTCCGCAGGTGTGTGTAGCACAACTCCCTCACTCATGCCAGCCTCGCCCAACCTCCACCAGCTCAGATTTACAGCCTGCCAGGGAAGGCTGGTCACTCCCATCCCAAACAGAAATCCCTAAAAATACGGCCCTGTGTTGGCAGACCAAAGCCAAACTGTACAGGCCACAAACTGTATGAGAGTTGATGGAATTGGGTCAGGAAGACGTGTTTTGCCACAGCTCCGAGCACATGTTTGGTTTTAAACATTTAAGGCGTGTGGAGATGTTCAACAGGAAGTTCTGCAACATTTAAACAAGTCAAATCTTTTTTTACCTTTTAGTATGTACCACTGTCCATACTAAATTATCTAAACTACTATCCTATGTCTTAAGCCGCTTTTCCACCGAAATCACCTGGAACAATTTGTTCCAGGAACTTTTTTCCCCCAGACCTGTTGCTGTCTGTGCTGTCAGTTGGGCATTACTTAGGAGTGTGAACTCCCGCGGACGGGACGACGCAAGTCCGGTAATTCTGCAAACAGCAGCGTACTTGATGTCAGTCAGCTCGCCTTGGCTACTGCAATTTTCCTCACTGTATTTACAATAAGACGAAATATGATATCAAACACCACTGCCTTTTTAAATTTTCATTTAAACATATTAATAGCCGCAGAAAAGCGAGGTGTACTCCGATTGGCCAGCTATCCAGTGCATTGTGATTGGCCGAATACCTCAAGGACGACCCCGGGCTGTACTCCGCTTCGTCCACGGTGAAAGCCGATATGGCCATCCACAGCGCAAAGTTGATGTATTTCCTCAGCGACCAGCACGGATCAGCTCCAGGCATGACGAAGCGGATACACAGTGAAGTAGACGTGGGGGTATATTTAAACGAGGCATTTTAGGAAGGCATGGACGAGTCTTAACCTTTAAATAGAATATCTCTTTGGGTTTGAGACTTTAGTCTTTGCAACTTTAGGGATCTTATCTATGCACAAACAGCTAGTAACACTCCAAAGAGAAAGGAAAACTTGAAATCGCATCATATGACCGCTTTAAGAATCATACGCACTGTATAAAGGTCTCAGAACATATAATTTTCATCAACTCACAACTCAACTTTCAAAAATGTTTTAAGGAGTTTGTCTTCTGAAAGTTGTTTTAGAAAGACATTTCGTTATCTGTATGTTGTTAAACAGTACAACCTTTGAACACACTGTACTTCTATCACTCAAAGCCTAGTTTTCATTCCTGTCAAAAATGTAATATGGCTCCACCCTGACTGAAGTCTATACCTCACAGTGACTGGAAGGGCCATGTTTCTGAACTTTAGTAGGCATTCTTTATTGTAAATGTGGGTGTAATGTTAACATTTCATGTTACTGGTGTCAAAAAAAACGAAAGAAAGCAGAGTTGATTTTGGATGAAGAGGATGTTGCGAGTTCTAAAAATTACAGTGTTTTCACAGTACATTAAGCTCTTTTATCTCGAAAGATCAAGGAAAAGTGGATTCCTTGTGACATGACCCTTCTAATATCATTACATTAATGATCATGAATTGCATTCTTTTCTTTTATTGTGGTTCTTTCTCATTTATTCTCCAGATCGGTGTAATCTCACCATCTGTTTCTCCTTTTCTCCTTCTCCTCTGGTCACTCTCCTGCTTTCGCAATCTCGCAGGGAATTACGAAATGGTTAGTTTACTGCTGGTGCGCGGTGCCGACCCCCTGCTGAGGTCCCGGGACAGTAACACGCTGACATCATCGCTCTATGAGGACATGAACTGCTTCAGTCACGCTGCCGCCCATGGCCATAGGTGATACCTCCCATCATCCCCAACAGCCTGGAACAGATCACACTAACACACACTACTCACCCCCCACAACTCTCAACATGATCCCTTATGACAACTCTTTTACGCAACTGTATTACCACACCAGCTAACTTACTTTCTATTCATCTAGCTTTATATCGATTTGTCTAGCTTTGTCCAATCATTCATTATCTATCCTGCCAGAATCTATCCATCTGTCTGTCTGTTCAGTCATTCATTATCTGCTAGCTATCGGTCCTTCCAATCATCCATCCATCCCTCTTTTTGTCTACTCATTATCTATCCAACTAATCATTCATCTATACATCCATCTAGCTTCCTATTGACCTATTTTGTCCAGTAATTCATTATCTGGCTATCAATCCAACCATTCATGATCTATTTTTCATCAATCTGCCTTTGTAATATTATTTATCTATCCATCTAGCTTTCTATTAAGCTATCGTTATATTCCATATTTCCAGCCAGCTGTCTACCTCTGCATCAAACTACCTTTCCGATCACACATGTTCTACCCAGGCACCTATCTTCCAATCTATGCAAATATCTATCTACTGTATGTATCTACTCATCCATCAATCCTTCTGTCTCTCCATATGTCTAAGCATTCATTATTTATTCACCCATTTAGCTTTGTATTGAGCTGTCTATCTACCTGCTCATCCATCTATCACTGAACTAAAGCATAAATATGTTCTCCAGGAATGTTTTGCGGAAGCTCCTCTCTCAGCCTCAGAAGGTAAGGGAAGATGTGCTCTCTCTGGAGGAGATCCTGGCGGAGGGTGTGGAGGCCGAGACGCGGGCGTCTGGCCGGAATGGACATTCTCTACCCCCTCCTCCATCCCCAAACCTCAGCCTGGTGTCTGAAGATTCCTTGCCCAAGCTGTGTAAGGCCCGTATGAAAGCTCTGCAGGAGGCATCCTTCTACAGCGCAGAGCACGGCTACCTAGATGTCACCATGGAGCTCAGATCATTGGGTAGGTTAGATGCATGACTTACCACAGAATTGTAAATCATTTTCAGAGAACATAGAGTGTAGATGATGTAAAGTAACACGTTCAATTAAAAAAAATATATATGTGTATATATATATATATATATATAAATATGGAATTTCTTTCTTTGATACGGTTATGTAAAGCTGAGCTATCAAAAAAGCATTTGATTATTTGTAAACAATTCTTCACATATTGGCTGATTCTGCAGGAGTGCCATGGAAGCTCCATGTGTGGTTGGAATCTCTACGCAGCGCTCAACAAAGGTCCAGAGCCGGAGTCATGCTCTCCCTTCTGCGAGACTTCACCTCCATCAAAGAGGAGGATTACTGTGAGGAACTAGTCTGCATTGGCCTTCCTCTGATGTTCAACATCCTGAAAATCAGCAAGGTAAAAAACTGGACATTTGTTCATAAAAAGCCCATGTAAAAAAAAAAGCAACAGCAAACACATTGAATTTTTATCATGTCAATGGATGGTGAGCAATTAAAAATTGAACCTAGACTATGAATTATAACATGACGGTTCATTGTGGTTTGAAATGTAAGATATCTGAAAAGGACACTACGTTCTAACTCGTTTTTTTTTTTTTTTTTTTTTTTTTGAAATTTTACA